TATGAGCTAAACCCAGCTCTTAAGGGATATAAATTGATTTAATAAATAAAATAAATTATACAAAACTCTTGAAATTATGAAAATGCAGTGTTGAGCGAGCCGGAGGGAGGGTTTGCAACAATACGTCTCCCATTTGGACTGCTTGGGGCTTTCTGGGTCCAAAATGACAGCAGCATCACAGAAAATCATCCTTACCAACCTGGGGGAGATAAGATGATTCCTTTTCTTCACTTAAATCAGTTATTCCATTCTCATTTTTGCAAGTAGACTTTTGCTTTAGATTTAGGAACTACACAAAATTGACCCATTCTGGCTGAACGCTACGATCAGTTGTATGTTTTAAAATGATGTTATTCATTAGATTTATATCCCTTCCAGAGGTCAAGGAGGTAAATACCCTAACCCTCCTCCATTTCCCCCCTAAAAACAGTCCTGTGAAGTAAGTTACACTGAGAGCGCCTGGCCCAAAGTCACCCAAAGTCTCTCCACTCTTATTTCAACCTCTTCATTACAGGGGTCAGGATTTTTCTAAGCTGCATCTCAAAACTGGTGGGATAGAGATTAGCCCCAGGTCCTTTCTTAACATTTGGATAGATCCCTAACTTCACATTTCACAACAAAGGAGCAAATTTCGTCTCTTGGTTTGTATAACAAGAAAATGCTGGATGGATATCTCAGAAATGAGATACTAATTTCTTCATTTCTATTTTGCCTCTTAGGAAATAGTACATTCTTGATTCTAGCTTTATGGTTTGCTTAAGAAATACTTGTCTTCACAATTACATAAATGAGATACTTCACTCTGACAATTAAAACAGCTTTAGCTATTCTTCTTTCTGGTAGCAATATTTCATCTTCAAGGCTTATTTGAAGCTGTTCAATTCCCTCTGTATCTTTGTTTGCCCCTCACAGCATCTTAATGGATATAACTCATTAAACTTCAACAATGGTTATTTTACTACTGTGTTCCTGAAAGAATTGTTATTGCTATTTATAACAGCAACTAGATTTTATAAAATGCACTCCAATTCCATCTCATATTCTGGAAATCTCACCATATTATTCAATTAAAAGAGTTGCCTCCTTTATTTCTAGAAAGCATCACCCCAGTAGTTGAAAAATTTAAGTCTGGACATGTGAAAACTGAATTCCAGTAAGAAATTATCTTGTATACATGGGAGCCAGTTTCGTGCAGTGGTTAAGGCATTAGGCTAGACCGTGAGTTCTAGTCCCGCCTCAGGCACGAAGCCAGCTGAGTGACCTTGGGCCAGTCCCTCTCTCGCAGCCCTATGAAGAAGGAGGCAAGGGCCAACCATTTCCAAAAAACCTTGCCAGGAAAACTGCAGGGACATGTCCAGGCAGTTGCCAGGAGTCAAGACTGACTCAAAGGCATTAAAAAAAAAAAATCTTGTATACACATATATAATCATTAAGTAGGTAGATATAAACATGTACCAATTCAAAGCATTTTTATTAATGATTTCAGATAAATTAGAGAAAGAAACAGCAGTTTCTAGCTAATGCTCACACTGTTACATGATCCTTAGACCATGGAAGATAAAAACACATGTTCCAGATATAACTTAAAAAAAAAAAACTTGAACTGGGATGGAAGTTGAAGAAAACTATATCAATCAGATAAGATTGACTTTTATCAGATTCCACCTGTCCATGGGGGTAACTTAAGAAAACACAATACAGGTAGTCCTTGCTTAATAATGGTAACTGGGACCAGCAACACTTGTTGATAAGCAGTGTGGTCATAAAGCGCAACATCAAGTGACTGCGCCGACTTAAATGGCAGTTGTGGCAGTCCTAGTTGCCATCGTCTGGCGAATCCCACACAGTCGCAGCATCCCGCAATCACGTGTCCACCACTTGCAATCTCCTGCCAGCTTCCCCATTGATTTTGCTTGTCAGAAGCCAGCAGTGAAGGTCGCAAGGTGGTCATGTGACCACAGAACACTGCACCTGTCGTGTGAGCCAGTTGCTGAGCACCCGAGTCATGATCACGTGACCACAGGGACGCTGAGATGGCTGCAACTATGAGGACCCAACATAAGTCCCCCTCATCCAGCACCATCGTAACTTCAAATGGTCACTGAATGAGTGGTCGTTTAACAAGTACTACTGTACTGAAGGGTTGGCTGTTTTTCTTCTTTCCTTTTGGAAAATTTGCAAGGATTCAGATGAAATGCATTCTACCTAATTGTTTCTTATGGAGATAACAGACCAAAAGGGAATCTCCCTCCTGCTAGCTAGTGGAGTTCACAAAATCCAAGAGAGTTACCTACTGAAACAAAAGATAACTCAGGCATGGTATGATTCTCTGTCCTTGTCAGATATTTCCAAGAACAGCCTCCGTTAGCACACTGCTTAGTGATACAAAAATGCTCATGGCCACTAATGAAAACTGGGCATCCAGTTCACTGCTGCATTTACAAATATACCAAACTATGTACTGAGTCTTCAAAAGGGATTCAATGCCAACCAATATCACCGTCCTCTATTCCGCCTTTCTATAGAAAAGGACCACCTCAAATTTGTCTGGATGAATTTGTTTATCTTCACCCAATTCACCGACAACATTATATAGCAGATCACAACTTGAACAGCTTCCTTGGAAATATCTAGAAAAAAGAGATAAAGTTTGGTGCTGATATTAATTTAACAACAAGCTCTTATTGGAGAAGGAGATGAGATAGAAACTTCAGAGGAATTCAACAGCTAAGATTCCCCAGCAACAGATTCTGAGATTTCTTGTTCAAAAGGCCTGGAGCCAGTATTTAATGTGGCCTCTAAGCCAGAGATTCAAAATTGTACTGCAGTATCAAAATTCACAGAGAAATCCAAACAAACTGGAACCAATTCCCCACGTCTGGTGCCAATGTCAGTTGCCCTCCAAGTTAACCAAGGTGCTGTCCAATAAACAGGGGTGAATTATAACATCATGATTTGCCTTGAAGGCTTGAAAGTTATCCAAATTACACAGTTGCCCTTTGTTTGAATGGGCTTCACCATAGCCACAGGATGAGCATCCAGACGAAAAACCCACTGAAGGGCCGCATATTCTCATTCTCATCCTACAACAGTGCCACATAATAACAGGAGCTTGGGCTTCAGGAAGACGAGGCCAAGCCCCACTTATAAATAATTGTTCTACATAAAAGAATGGAGTGAATGCTCCCTGCCTTTACAAGCAGCAAATAATTATTCATAGAATTTGAAAATGTAAAGATGTAAAAACTGTCCTTGGCCGAGGAAAAAGTCAGACTTCCAAGAAAGAGCCTCTCATGATTATCAAATTATAATGGCTCAAAATTTAACATGAAAAGAGTCTACTAATCTAATAACAAATCTACATCTCAAGTGTAATTTAAGTCAAATAAAACATGCTGTCAGATGTCACCAGTCATGGGAATAAATACTGACTCTCCAGAAATTCATCCTGCATTCTGTAATAGCAAGAGATTCATGGATTCAACACAGCTAGCTAAGTTGTATTGCAGGCACAAAAAGGTCATGTACAAACAGACCTCCCTACTGCAGATAGGAATCAAAATATGCGTGCATGTGTGCATGTGTCCTTCCCAGGCCTATGCCTTTTATTCTGCCTTTTCAAATCAACAGACTTTGGGCTGTTCCTTTCTTGATCTCGAGAGTTGGAGATGTCTATTCCATGTTGACACAATGGCATTGATTCCCATCTTGCTAGCTTCAACCCTTACATACAATGAGTTAGGATGTCTTGCCTAAAGGGTCAAGTCTTACCAGCCAAGACTCTTGAGATCAGAATTTTAACTTGCATCCTACATGTTTAATCCTCTGCTCTAATCCTCTTCTGCAAGACTGTTTGCCTACTGCAAGTTTCATACATTCATGCTCAATCTGTGTTCTATCCTGACCTGCCACAGAAGTTCCAACATAGGAAACTATTTCCAGTGATGTTTTTGCCACTCCTGCAGCAGCACTATAAAGCAAAATAACAGTGGAACTTTTTTTACTGAAATATACCAGATATTTCCAAATTTTAATTGGTCTACAAATATATTTATTTATGATTTGGTTTTGTTTATCAAAATCTTTTGTTTGTTTAAAAAAGCAAAATGAATGTATACTTGAATTAGTTCTTCTGAAGAAGCCTATCATACAGATGCAAATATCAAGCCAAATCCAAAAATGCTAGGGAATTCCTGGAAGTTTGGCATTCAGACAAATCATCTGTCAATAGACACATAGAGATAAACCTCATTTACACACCATTCAAAAGAGACAATAAAAAATCTAGGAAGGAAACAAAAAGACTAGAACACATTACCTCCAGCCAATACTCAGATAAGCACCGATCAACACCAAAGAATCAGGCAGAAAACAATACCCTAATCAAGGAACCACCAAGGAGGAAGCCACACCCCTACCAAAAATGGCAGGGCAGGCGGCTATATATTCCTGCCCTGTGGAACTTCATCCCCCTGGGGATTAGACTGGCACCAACCTGCTAGCCTTTTGAAAGTTCCTGAAAACATGGTTTTGCCAATAGGCATGGGAACCAAGAAATGTGGTAGAGCCAGCACAGTGGTTGCGTTAGTGTTATTGTTAGATGTGATTACCTCAGCTTTGAATTTTATGAATTTTTAATGATATTTTTATAGGCTTTTATTTTTTTTTCTTGTTGTTAAAATGGTTGTATTGTTCTTTTTGTTGTTTTATATTTGTTTTAATTATTTGTAAGCCACCCAGAGCCATATAAATGACAGCTATATAAATTCAAATAATAAACAAACAAATGGCAGCAAACCCCACACTCGCTCCCATTGATGATGTTACCTAGTTGAGTAACGAAATGTCTGCAAGCAAACAACCAAGCTCAGAGAGCACCAAGAATTTCACAGTTCGACCCTGGCTACACATACTCTTTTCTATTGCATACAACTCTGCACTGTAGTAAAAAGCGTTTAATATAAGTTATAGGACTAATTATTGCAGGGCTGATCACCTACCTTTATGTGACTGAAGTCACCAACTTTAGTGGCCTCCTGTGGATTTATGGGCTTATTTTCTATACGTGGCTTTATCACTTGTCGAAATGGACTGGAAAGCGGAAGACCGCTCACGCTAATTCCATCTACAAAATGGGGAAAAGGTCAAAGTTACTATTATTTCACTTTCATTTACTAGGATACTTTCCAGATTCTTATCTAAAGACTATGTTCACATGACATGCTTTCCCATAGTTAATCATGGTTTACCAAACTCAATTTTCTGTGTTCACAGGATAAACTGAACTATAAACTATACCACATAAAATCTAGCTGAATAATTTTAGTTCGATATGGTACACGAACACAGCCAATAAGGTGGAATTTGATTCAAATAAATCTGAATGTTTTACATAGTGTAAAGAAAAGAAGATTAAACCATTTGAACTGAAGTTTGAAAATAATGGGGACAATCATCTCTAAGAGAAATGCTGGAAGAATTGCAAATCACAACTAAATCATAGCTTGCTCTTTTGATTTGGAATGTGATCAGAAACTATAGCTGATTTGGAACTAACAATGCTAGATAATTTGACTGTGTGAAGACAAATAAAGAAGCACAGAAGTCCAAAGCTTACACATGATTGGAATAATATGTTTCGGCAATACTTAGAATAATATTCTAAGGCAATATTGAAAACAGAGAAATTGAGAAGGAAGAAATCAACATATTTTTAAAGTAATAGAAATGCTAAATCGAAATGTGACCAAAGGATGCAATATTCAATCAATGTTGAATGGATATTTATTAGTATGAACTATCCCCAGCAAAATAGCATTAATATTTGTCAGATAGCCTAACATTAATAACCATACTTACACATAAATGCAATATTATATTATACCAAGAATCTTTTACAAGTGATTTACATAAAACTTTCCATTTGTCATTCTACATATTATAGAAGTAACTAAAAGCCTGCCTTTTGAAATCTAGCCTTTTATCATAACAGGCATTTACTGCTAGGCCATCCAAAGGATTGACTTTTAAACAAGTAGCTTTTGTCTAAAGGGAAAAAAGGTGAATAACACAGCTCATTAACCTGTTATTTCCAAAGGCGAGAAATGGATTTCAACCTTTAGCTTTGACCCAATTTAAATAAATATCAACTAGCTGTTATATTTGTTGTTATATCTGATATTGATTTGTTTTGATATTTATTTTGTATTATATGTTTTAACGTAATTCATGTAAATTGGGAAGTATGGCACTCAGATTCATTTGCAATTCGAGCAGCCTATAAACCCAATAAGATAAATAAATAAATTAGTGGCCAGATCTTTGTTAGATGCCTTAGAAAAGGAGCCAGCCGTTACTAACTGACTGCTTATGAAGTACAGGCAAACTGTCTTTACGCTAACCTAGATATGAACTGATTATTTAAGAGAAAAATGAACATAACAAACAGAAACCAAAGAGCTCATTTTCCAGTCCTAGAGCAGTAGGATATGAAGGTCCTTCTGAGAAGCAGTTCTCTACTCTTTCCTTTGCCTATCTGCAGCATATAAGAGCACAAGGCATCTGAAGCAACTAATCTGCCATTATACAGTGCATGTGTGAGTATGTAAGTATGTATGTTTACATGTGAAAAAGAGAGATAAAATTTTTATGCTTCAGAAAGCAAGACTAAGACTGGCCCAGTTCTTTCCTGCTATAAATAGGGATATTAACATTGCTTCCACAAGCACAACTCAGAGAACCTCAAATAATTTCTCTTTTGGGGGGCATTTTAATATATGTCACTCCTACAGTCTAAAACTTCTAACACCAACGACAATACACCTTCATCCTAAGGGTCTGCTAACTTCTCCCATAGAATAGCAAATGCATTTTCATCTAAAATCCGTTACAATGAAGTAATTAACTTACCTTTATTAATACTGGTTTAATACTAAATAATTTACAATGAAGTAGAAAGCAATCACTATGTATTTAGTACTGCAACTGTTAATTAAAATATGAAGTCATTAGATTTGTATCAATATATTATAATAATACTTTTGCCTGGAAGAATTTGTGGAACACCAACTGCAACTTATAAATTATGTATACGGTATTTCTCTTGCATTATTAAAATTATCAGGTTTGTCAGATACTGTGCAATATAGCTTTTCCATTATATTCTAGAAAATGCTGAAAAATTGTTTTTCTCTCTCATATCACTATGTACAATATATTTAGCAATGTAAAACCAACTCAGGGGGTCTGATCCTCCAACATCTTTCACTGGGTTAACATAGTGGGAGTAATGTGTTTTGGAAAATTAAACAAGGTAGGGAAAGCCTACAGAGCACATCTTCTGGAGTTCTTTCCAAGACCTTAATATTAGCATTCTCTGGGTCATGTGACCAGGAGGAAGGAGGAGGTGGGGCTTAGACTGGAAGCAATAAGGGTAGAGAAGTACTGACACTTTGCCACCTTTATCGACACAAGGTAGTATCAATAGGAGCTCTAACCTGTGTTCGGTAGAGTTTGTCCTTCATTGAGCGCCAGCAACGCTCTAGATGCCTCTTCTCTCTTTTCATATCTCTCAGCTCCTCCATGAACTACGGGGAGTGACAGGATCCATGAGAGGAAAGAGGGTGCATGGGTGCGATCTGATCCAAAGCCTTAGCCACCCCCCTATTCCAAGCAGTGACCAAGGCTTCAGATGGACCATACAGCAGACCGGCAGGAACAACCCCCATCTCCCTCTGAAACCCATCCAGGTCCATCAGTCACTGGGGGCGTACCAATCTAGTGTGTCCAGCCTTCTGGCAGCAGACAACAGCGCTAGAGAATCCCATGGTAATCAGGGCATGATTTGACTATGACAAGGGAGACATTAAGAGCCCCCCCCAATTTCAGATTACATAGCCACATCAGATGTGTGACCACTGTCCCGTGTCAGGCTCTGGATGATCTGAGATGGGCCCAAGGCCGTCATGGTGGCCATGAACTCCCAAGCCATCTCAGACCCCTCTCTCAGAGAAAGCAGACTGAAGTTCTCGCAGAATGCAAGTCTAGGGAACTCCACCACCAACCCAAAAACTGAGTCAAGGAGCTCAGGCAGGAAGGTTGCTATGCAGCAGGGAGGCTGGTGCAACAGCAACAATCCCAACTGATCCCTAGAGTCCAACTTAATGAACAGGGTCTCACATCTAGTGACCTGTGGAGCAGCATCCCTGAAAGCTGTAAGGGATTCCCAGAATAACAATCACCACAGTTCCACCCTTGCCCCGGAGTCTCGGCTGATGTCATACCCGGAACCCAGCTGGGCAGATCTCCAAAAGGGCCACACTCCCTTCTGGGCCCAGCCAGGTTGGCCCTCTTATCAATTATTAGATTGCAGATAAAGGAGGCTTTATTAGAGACCGACCTTGCACTTAAAAGCAGCAGCCGGAAGCTGGTTTTTAGTAAAGTTTTTAGTGAAATGAAAATCACTGTATATGTTTTAAAATAAATAAAATGAGCCATCTATATGGTTTATAAATGATAATGAACATTATTCACATTTCTCATCTCCCAAATATGGAAATTTGAGTTATGGTGGTGCGTGACATTTCTTGTTACTTGTTATTCTCCTAAATAACATTTCTTTGCATTGTACTGTGAATTTCTAGAGTTAGCGTGGTTTTAAAGAGCTCTAGGGGAAAATTAAAAATGACTTGTCTAGCCCGCAGCCACCGCAATTTATGATGTGTTTGCAAAAGTACAATACCAAACAGTTCATAACTCAAGCAGAGAAGGAAGCTGATTTCAAATATATAGCCAAATGCAGGCCTTCCAATCGTTTTTATGGCTTCTTTTTCTTTTTCCTTTGCTTTGTGCACACATGACAAGAGGAGTAAGAACAGAAGCCTGTTACCTCCCACTATGTGCTGTGATGTTTATGCACATCTTAATGCAACCCTCCAGTGGGTTTGACTGAAGCCATAAGATTTAAAAGGACTTATGGAGAGGCATCAGCAGGATCTGATGCCTTAATCAAAATGATAATAGCAGCATTACACCAAGGCAATGCAAGCTTCACCCCTTTTGTATGAGTACGTGATGTCATGATGCGGGTACAAAACAGACAAAGCTTGAAATGCAACAATGCACCACTGCTTTTGTCATCTGCCCCACCCGTCACCCTCATGAACATCTCTAAACTAGGAAAACAATTAGGGTTTGATAACTTTCCAAATGTAAACAACATGCCAACATGCCTCTAAACCAACTCTTCTTGCCTGCCAATCAGACTCTGCCTGAACCCAGTCATGGGTATTTCTATTTTGTGTGCTGTTTATTTTTGTGAGGATAGAAGCGAACCAAATCAAAGTCAAGTGTAAAGCGGTATCATTGGTAATAAGAACATTCCAAATTGCTGACATCGCAGATTCATACTTAACTTCATCAACTAACATGGCTATCACACTAGCCATAAGAAAGATCTTATATCAGGATATCAGATACTTTTTAAAAAAGAAAATAAAGGTGCACAAAGGTAGACCCAAAATCTAGTAAATAACAGCTTAGTTATAAATGATCCTTGAGAAAGGAACAAAGTTTTGGATCAACCCTACTCCCAAAGCCCTCAAGTCAGTCAGGCAAAAGATGTAGGAAGAATAAATTTAACTTGTTTGTTGTTCCACATTGTCCTCTTTCCTCTATTAATTCAAGCTAGAATGAGTTTTACCAGCCATCTGATGGGACCTAGGAGGCATGCCCCTTCAGTTATTGTGCCTGCCCTGTGGAATGATTCCCACCCCCATTGAGATTTGACTAGCCCTAACCCTGTTAGCCTTTGAGAAAGCTTTAAAGACCTGGATGTTCCTTCAGGCATTGGAGCCAAAATGTTAGGTGGAAGGTTGAATGTATGTAGTTACATTCTGATTGCGTGATTTGTTTTTACTATTGCAGTTTTGAGGGAGTTGCAAATTGTGATTTTGTTTTACGGTTCTATGCCACCCAGAGTTGTATCTTTGCAAGTTGGGCAGCCAAATAAATAAATAACCAACCAACCAGCCAACCAACTAACCCACCCACCCACCCACCCTGTCCACATTCTTGTTATACAACCTCCTCTAACCTTAATATTCCCTACAACTGGCAGGGAAAAGAGCTAATAATGGATTTAGCAAGGATGTAAAATGGCCTGCCCAAAGTTGACATCCTTCCTTCCTTCTATTCTAATCCCACTTGAATAGTCACTCAAGAAGGGGATATTAATATAGTTCTGCTGAAGTTCAAATTTGCATCAGTCTTTAGGAAATATATGAAGTAGCAATTGGAATTTTGTTTTAAATAAATGGTTCAATTCTTTTTTCTTGATTCAAATCACGAGTTAGGTTATCACTGATCAAAATCCACCTGTTTCATTCAATATAAATTGATTAATTGATTGAATGAATGAATGTACACGCACGTGTATATTCATTCATTCACACTGTGTGTGTGTGTATGTGTGTGTGTGTGAGTGTGTCTACTGAATATATAAAACATTCTCCCTGCCTGAGTACCTCATCCACTAGGCAGAAACATTCTTATATACATTTGGAATCTGCAAAGCAGGATTGTATTAGCTACAAAATGAGCATGAATATACTTTTTACAAATTATTTTCACAAATCTTAAGACCTAATTCTCTTCCACTTTCTGATTGATATGAATAGCAAGAATTATAACTATTATAAATTAAATACCAACATGAACTCTGTTTCTAAAGACATATGTACACTCAGCTATCAGCTGCTTTTGCCATTTCCATGATGTTAATATTTGCAAAATAGAAAGGTTTTACTCTTCAGTTTTCAAACATCACTTGCTAACTAATTAGAGAAGCCTGTCAAAATTAAAATGTAGCCCTTCATATTAAAATAAAACTCTAAACCCACCATCATTCAGATCTTGCAGAAGGTTTTCCTGACAGGAGAAATCAAGCTTGACTTTAATGTACACAGTAAATACAGCAATACTTCCTGGCTTTAAAGGAAACTGGGAAAGTGTATCTTCTAGATTCCAACTCAAGAAGTCACCAAACAGTTTTCCTAAAATAAAAATATGCATAGGTTATATGAAAATGGAAACACATTTAATGTATATCCCTTCAGTAACATAATCCAATGTTAAATACACATACTTCTGAATTTGCAGAGATTTTAATGATTTCTCAGGAAATTTTAAAAAACCCACTGATTTCCATCATCCTTCACTGTTTCTGCAGTACAACAAAAACAGGTACTGTAAGGTGATTAAATAACTTTTCCACTATTTTCATGAACAAATTGGGAAGGCTTTCCCCCCTAATCAAATAACAAGGAATAAAAAAATTGGTTTTTTTAGAATGTACTCTAAAATTTCTTTAAATTTAGACTATCTAATACTGAATGAAATTTCTATAAAGCATATTTAGAATAGTATTCTACGTTACATATAATATCAGAAGACTTGAACTGTCAGTTCTTGACTTTTTGTTCTTCAGTTGTATATGGTTAGTCTTCACAAACCTAAGTCTACTACTTAGGCTAATAAGAATGACTGTTCCTATATTTCAGCTTGCAATATGGTTTTGGAGAGGGGAAAACAGTTTTCTCTGTCCTAGTCAAAACCAGCCCAGAAGGAACTGGAAATTCTTCACAGTATGTGAAGTATTTAAAACACATGTAAAACTTGTCTGTTGGGTAATTTGAGAAACTACATTTATTAGTGCAGACAAATCTCTCTGCTTGTAAAGCACAAGAGCCTTCAATCTGTCCAATTCTGGGCAAGCCGCAGAGTGCAGAAGAAATGCAATCCCAATTAGAAAAAGAATCTGGAGAGGACAAAAAACTGAAACAAAACAGCCCACTAGGTATAGAAAACCAGGGCGGAGCAGAAATGATTTTATAGCAGTTGGGATAACAGTAATATTAACCTTTTACATTGACCATTTTTGATGTAACCTCCAGCTTCTCCAAAGGTTCTGTTCCAATATTTTCAAGTTTAATGATGAGTGGCTGAGTCTCTCCATTGTACAGCTGGACAGACACGCTGGTAGTAATTTCATCACCTGAAGAAGGCTGAAGTGTACGAGCAGACCTTCAAAAAGGATAGGAAAGATGCCAGTAGGTAATGAATCCATCACTATAAAATGAATCCACATATTATTAACCATAGGTTCATAGATAGCTAGATGTTTTTAAAGTGTTAATAAACAGCATCATCTAACTTTATTAACCATGAACTTATGGTTAATAAAATGGGGATGATGGAGAGCATAAAGAGCAGTCAGCCAAGAACATCCACTAGCCATAAGAAGCATTTAAAACCCCAAGCTTTAGCTTGGCACTAATTACTGTGAGAAGGAAATCAAATTCTTCCCCCCTCCCCATGTCAGCAGGAAGTCAAAGCTTCCCGTTTGTCTCACCCTACCATTGTTTATCTTAACAGCAATCAAGGTATATGACTAAATTATAGTAAGAATGGAGTCACCTAAAAAGATTGAAAACGTAGCAGGAAGAATCAAGAGTCCTCCTCCCCAGCCCAAAATTAAATAACTAAAGACCTAGTAGGAAGGGCCAACATTCCTTGAAGCTGTAACTGAATCATAAAAAGATTTCTTCCCCAAAGGGATCTACATTCCAGTTAGGCAATTCCAGATAAGGCAAACACAGGAAACCCCAGCTTAGTTGGGTGCCTGACCTCAGAATGCTCCCTTCTAAAAATCTAGTCAATTTCACCAGAGAGTGCTCTCTCTTGGAATCCCAGCAAATTACCTTTCCTAAGAATTCCTAGAGGGCAGGCATTCCTTCGCACCTTTCAAGGAACAACAGTATCTTCCCTATAAAAGGAACTCCTGGGGAAACCCAGAGCAGGGCCGCTGGACAGCTGATCCTTTTGGGTATCTGGCTCTGGGAAAATAAAGTCTTCTCTCTCCTTCAAGCAACCACCTGTGTGTTTATTCCCAGCTCCGAGATGAACCTGGTAAGCTTTCTTTCTAACATTACTATTACTTGAATGGCACTCTTTATTACTGTTCTTCACCTGCCACACTTGAAGATTGGACTCTGCATGAGCTACAACTGTAGGCAGAGGCAGATGTAGAGAATTTTATTTTGGAATCTAAAGTGCAAGCTAAGTCAAACTTAGTGTTGAACCAAGCTAAAGAAAGATACAATTAAAGTAACTTCTGCCCTTGGAAACTGACAAAAGTGTTAACACTCAAAGCTAATTTATTTTGGGATACAATTAAGGCACACCTTTGAACATAAATTTAGCACTGAGAAACAGGTATTTAAAAAAAAAAAACCTCCCAAAAACATTAACAAAAAGTCTAAAGCACATATAAGGTAATGAAACAGCTTACTAAGGGAACAGTGTAGATAACTTTATTATTTCTCTCTCATATATTATTCCTCTCTCTCTCTCTCTCTCTCTCTCTCTCACACACACACACACACACACACACACACACACTGCTCTCCTTTAAAAATTTCAATCTCTTAACTGTGATTTTGATCAGGCATTTGGAATCTATTTCTAAATACAGTTTCAAGCATGTTTTAAAAGAAAACTATGCTGAACATTCAATTCAGGGCAGATATTAATATTAGTCATAATAAAAGACAAAAAACAAGCAGAGAAAATTCCACCAAGACTTGCTTCCAAAAGTTTGTAGGACCCTCCAGAGCAAAGCTGAAAGGTGCAGAGGTAAGCAAGAGAAATCTCACTGTAAGAACATATATCCATACATGAAACATGGATGTAGTCAAGATAATTTCCTAATTGGAATCACTAAAGGTTCAAGTTAAAAATAACTCCTTTACAAACAAAGACCCTTTTTTTGGCTTAAAATAGCAGGACTCAAACAATATTGCATTTGGAAGCCTCATCCATTTTCAAAATGATTTATAACACAGCACTGAGGCAAATACAATTTCATTATTTAAAATCTGCTTTAAGAGAAGATAAGCTCTCCCTCAGGGAGTTTCACTGTACATCAACTCTTAACATAAGATGACAGGTTAAGACATTTTTATTCCTCAAACTTTTGGCAGGTTATTGGTGGCTGCTGCATTCACTGATGGGGTTTCCTCATTTTCATTCATATATGATTTGGTGTTTAAATGATAGTAAACTGCTGTTTTTATTATTAAGATGAAGTATTATTTCCAATTATTCTGAATTTTTTAAAAAGAAAAGCAGTTTGTGTTTTAAAAAGATATTCAATTAGGAGACACATAATACTACTCCAATAGTTCTTTAGATGCTGATAGATGTACCCAAACTTTACCAACTTGGAAATCAACCATCAGAATTCTTACCTTGGTAACGAAGTACTAATCTGCAACCTAGGTAAAGAGGGAACAACTTCCACTGTACAACCACTGGTCTTTATTCCTAGTAGTTTATCCAAAAGGCAATCACTGAAGACTCCAAAAACTGAGGTATGATAGCCTGTCATCATGAGAAATGGGTCAGAAATTGAGTAGAAATGATCATCAAGCACAAATGGAAATCTACTACAGCTGTCGGAACCAGGGAATTATTTAATTTATGAAAAATGTACAGAAGACCTAAGTGTCAGTTGGACATGTAACTAATTTGCTACTGTATAGTTAAAACATTCCTAGGACAATCATTATGGCTAAGAAACCTCAAATCTCAGCCAGGATTTGACATTACAACATGCTATTTGAATGGCTAATGCAGAGAGATTAGGAGAACTGCATTCTCTGCCTGCTCTTCCTCCTCTTCCTCCTCTGATGGTCTGGGGAGGTAGGGGGCATAATAGTGGTATTATTGAAAGTAACAAAGCCAAAATTTTGGGGGCTATAAAATTAGCAGAAGTCAAATACATACAGTTTGCTTATTTTGACAAAAATAATAAATCTGGCAAATTGTGCCACGGAGTCTTGGCAACCTGAACTGTGGGTTTGAGATTAATAAAAATGGGGCTGCAGAAAATATGTGCCCGGCAGTTTACCCACCTCTCTTTTAAGGCTCTAGAAATCTATTACTGACATATAAGATAAAATAAAGAAGCAGCACTTAGAAACTAGCACAAAGTCAGACTCTTCTGGCATACTGCCACTCCAGGCATTCCTTCTGCTGTTTCTTCCCACTCTTCATTAATCTGCCATTTATAATTTACTGGAATAATTGTTTAAACACCATATCAACTGCACTACTGTTCATGTTTAAGTAAATATTGATGGGATTTTCTGTTGAAAACTATATTAGAACATTTCAAAAGTACAAAAGCTAATCAATAGCTAAAATTTCAAATCACACATCAGTCTGCCAGACATAGATCAGGTCACAATATCTTCTGCATTTCATCATAATCTGTAGTCCAGCACACACTCTTTGGTGATTACATTTGGAACTGCAAAGGATCTTAGTAACAGATTCTTTGGGGTATTAGATTCCTAAATCATTTTTTTGAAACACGCTGATGAAAACTGATTTAAAATGAATCATATTCAGTAAAGATAAAGCTTTTACTTCATCCTTTTCATTACTATTTTTGATATAGTAATAATATCAACCTAGAGCAGAAAAGCCCTTGCCTCATTAAAAAATCAACACAATCTGAAATGGCTTGCAGCAGCTTACACTTCTCATTGTAGAGCAAATCCTACTAGCAATCTTTACCGTTGATGTTGATCTGGCCTGGAGACTGAGGAACACCAACAAGGGTCACAGGATAGAGACCAGACTCTGCAGGTAAAGAGAGAGCGGCGGGGAGAGATTCAAACTCAACTCCACTCGTCAGCAGCCCCTGGGGAGAGGAAAAGCAAATTCAATTTAGTTGCATTAAGCTAAAAGCATATTGAATATAGGACATTATATTATGCAACTGGAATAATACGCTAATAAAATTTTCCTTAAAAATATTTAAATAGTGATACTATTAGGAATAGTAATCACTATTCCTAATTTCCTTATGATTGCTACATTTTAACTACTGCCTTAGATTTATTTTATTGTATGTTATCTTGAGTACATTTGTAGAAAACCATTCGTGTACACTATTCATTCTGTGGAAAACATTCCTAATTTAGTACATACACAAATTACCTGTAGAGCACCTGAGTGAAGGGAATGATTATGGGAAGAACCTGAACTGTTGACATTTATGTTATCAGTTTCATCTTTAAAAATCCCTTTTTAATATCAAATTAGTTTATGCAACTCATACGGTTAATGTGCTCATTCCACCAACATTTGTAACTGTGACAGAAACACTTTCTTGCAAGGCATAATAAAGAAAAGTAAGATTTTCTTCAAATGTATTATCCCCTCTTACTTCTTGGGACATGCTATAACAGTGTACTGTCTCTACAGACAAAAAAATTCCCATTAATTAAGAGACATTTTAACATTTTTGGAACATTCTACTGGCTGGATTTATGTACAAGTGAATCAACAAGTCATCTGATCTGATATCAACTGACACAAGGCTTGACTGTAATAGCTTTCGAATGCCAAAGGAGATAATGTACTGGATTATCCAATTCAGCAACTGTGAAGAAAAAGCACCATAACAGCAGAGCCCATAATAGTATTATACAGAAGATATAAGGACAACAGCTGAAGATACAGAGGCAAGTGTGAAAGGGCTAAGCACACTGAAGATTACAAACTAGAAATTCACTTTTCTAAACATCTAGGTACTTCACTCTTTCAATGCCCAGAGCTTTACATCAAACATTAATATAAGAAAATACAACCCCACTCAGTTAAACAGAACAGACAAGCTGTTCTACACAGCATAAAATATCATAAACATTCCCTTTGAAATAAGTGAGTTTTTGGAACAGGCTGAATCAGGAAAAACTACCTGACAATAAATAGGTACAGCAATGTATCTTTACAACATGGAACAGTCTATCTATGGAGACTGTGGGTTCTCTATCTCTGGACTTTTTTAAGAAGTGGCTGGACAGCCACTTCTTGGAGATGGTTTAATTCGTTTTCCTGTACTTTTCAAGGGTTGAATTAAATGATCCTTGTGATTCCTTCCAATTCCACAATTCTATGATTTTATGGTTCATCCCATCTGGAAAAGTGAGAGGAATTATTTCAAAGAGAAGGTACTGTCCAACCTTACAACAATCACAATAAAAGCCTTGCTTTACATAATAAATACCGTCTCATTAAGCAGCAAAGTCACAAGGTTCAGTTATGAACCCTTTTCTAGGTAATCTCAATTATTTTACTGTATATTTTCTAGGCCATACATGGGTTCAACTGTAACCTCTCAACAACCAGCATTTATTCTTGTATGCCTTGAATCCTGAGGATAATTATACATCCACCCACCATCTGTGTGTTTAAACTTTTCAGTTAAGTTTGCAAAATAGGGCTTACTTTCCAATGTAAATACATTTTGAAAATACAGACCTGGTGCATTTAGTATTGCTTGAAATTTTATTTCACTGATTAAGGTCTACCTATTGTTTTCCTTGTTCTGGATGATGATGATGATGATGATGATGATGATGATGATGATGATGATGATGATGATG